CAAAAAAAAAAAAAAAAAAAACACATCTATAATGTCACTCTTCATATTAACAGATTCGAGGAGAAAACTATACGATCATCTCAGTAAAATGTGGAAAAGGGCAACTGAGTGGATGGCCAGTTAATTCAGTTGGAGCGTGGTCCTGATAGCACCATAGTCCAGGGTTAGATCCCTATACCACTCAGTCACCAAAAAAAAAGAAAAAGAAAAGGGTATCTGATAAAATTCAACACCGATTCAGATAAAAATTCTTATCAAAACTTCCTCAACCTGATAAATAGTATATACTAAAAACTACAGCAATCTTATTCTAAAAGAAGTGCTATCAGGTTGGCAGGTTAGCTCAGTTGGTTAGAGCAGTGTTATAACACCAAGGTCAAGGGTTCGGATCCCAGTTCAGGCTAGTAGCCAAAAAAAGAAGTGTTAAAAACATTCCCAGGGCCGGCCCGTGGCTCACTTGGGAGAGTGTGGTGCTGATGACACCAAGGCCATGGGTTTGGATCACTATATAGGGATGGCTAGTTGGCTCACTTGGGGAGGGTGTGGTGCTGACAACACCAAGTCAAGGGTTAAGATCCCCTTACTGGTTGTCTTTAAAAAAAAAAAAATTCCCTTTAAAATCAGCAATGACCAAAATGCCAACAAGTAGGAAAATGGGAAATATGATATTATATCATATAAAAATTAAATCAAGGGCTGGCCAGTTAGCTCAGTTGGTTAGAGCGTAGTGTTGATAACACCAACATCCAGGTTTCATCCTTGTTACCAGCCAACTGCCAAAAAAAAAAAAATTTTTTTTAAATGATACAATAAACTGAAAATGTAATGGTCTAAAAGACACAACAAAACTGTAAGGTATCTACAAATATACCTAACAAAAATGTCCAAGATCTGTTTGAAATCTCATTCAAAATCCCAACAAGGATTTTGGGACAACATCAAAATCTAATTCTAAAACAATCATGAGATAACAAAATATCTGCAGTCCTGATATTCCTGAAAAAAAAGAATAAGGTAAAGGGATTTGTCCTACCAAATATAAAAACTCATTTTAAAACTGCACTCTATTTTTTTTTAAGAAGTAGCACTGCAGATCAGTGGGGAAAGTAGAGACTATGTAATAAATGGTGCTGGGTGTAATGGTTATGCTTAAGGAGGAAAAACTGTATATCCAGATAAATCAGAGGCTTTGATATAAAATGCTAAACTAAAAATTATTCTTAGAGGAAAATATAATTCTGACACAAAAAGAAATATCCATATAAGGTCAAATTGATAAATTTAACTATGTTCATCAAAATTTGGATTTCTGAACCACTGGAACAGCTAAAAAATTTTAAATAACAACAGCAAAAGTTGGGGAAGTGTGCAACACTAGATTTCTCATACATAGCAGGTAGGCACAGCTATCTGGAAAGAAATTTGGAAGTTTTCTGTAAAGTTAAACATAAACCTATTAAATGACCCAGCAATTCCACTCATAGGTATTGGCCCAAAAGATATAAAAACGTATATCCACCAAAAGATTTTTATAAGAATGTTTATAACAGATTTATTCATAATAGTCCTAAATTAGAAACACTCCAAATGTCCACCAACAGGAGAATGGATAAACAAATTGTGCTATGCCCACACAACAAAATATTCCTCAGCAATAAAAAAGAGAATAAAGTTCAAAACCACAATGAGATACCACTTCACACCCAATAGGATAGCTATAACCAAAAGTCAGATAATAACAAGTGTTACAGAAGATGTGGAAAAATTAAAACCTTCATATATTGCTGGTGGGAATGTAAAATGGTGCAGCCACTAACAAAGGGTTTGACAGTTTCTCAAAATATTAAACATAGTAGTTACCAGTTGACCCAGCAATTCCACTCCTAGGTATATACCCAAGAGAAATGAAAACATATAACCACACAAAAATTTGTACATGAATGTTCATAGCAGCATTATTCATATTAGCCAAAAGTTGGAAACAATCCAAATGTCAACCCATGAACAGATAAACAAAATGTGGCATATTCATACAATGGAATATCATTCACCAATAAAAAGGAATGAAGTACTGATACATGCTACAACATGGATGAACCTTGAAAACATATGAAGTGAAATAAATCAGTCATTAATGACCACACATAATATGATTCCATTTATAAGAAATGCCTTGGGGCCAGCCCGGTGGCGCACTGGATAAGTGCGCCGCTTGGGAAGCGCGGCGGCGCTCCCGCCCGAGGGTTCGGATCCCACATACAGACCGGTTCCCGCTCACTGGCTGAGCGAGGCGCAGGGGCAACACCGAGGGTTGCAATCCCGTTGCCGGTCCCCGGTCCGGTATGGGGGCAACAATGAGGGTTGCGATCCGTTGCCAGACACGGAAAAAGACAAAAGACAAAAAAAAAAGAAATGCCTTGAACAGGCAAATCTATAAAGACAGACAGATTAGTGGTTGCTTAAGACTTGGGGGGGTAACGGCTAAGGGGTACAGGGTTTCTTTTGAAGGTAATAAACTGTTCTCAAATTGACTGTGGTGATAGTTATACAACTCTGACTATACTAAAAACCATTTAATTGTACACTTACACGGGTAAATTGTATGGTATGCAAATTATATCTCAATAAAGCTGTTACAGAAAAAAATAGAATTCCTGTTCATTAAAAGACACTATAAAAAATTGAATCACCCACAGATATGCACAACCAACTATGCTCCAATAAAAAATAAGTAAATTTAAAAAAAGAAAGAAAAGAAAGAAATGAATCAGTTGGTTACAGCACAGCCGTCTAATACTAAGGTCACAGCTTTGGATCCCTGTACAAGCCAACTGCCATAAATACATACATACATACATGCATGCATACATACATACATACATACATAAAAATAAAAGCTAAAGAAATGAAAAAGCCAAGCCACAGAGAGAAGATATTTTCAGTATAAATAGGTAACAAGAGATTGATCATCAAATTATATAAAAAAATTAATAAAAATCAATAAGAAAAAGTTGGCCAAACACATAAGCAGGTATTTCACAGAAAAGGAAATATAATTGGTAAATAAACCCATGAAAAGGTGCTCAATTTCATTACTAATCAGGGAAATGCAAAATAAGACCTCATAAGTTACATTTTATACCCAATACAACTCACAAAAATTAAAAAATTAGCTAATATCAATGGAAATTTTTAACCACTGCTAGTGGAGATATAAATTGATATAACCACTTTCAATCAATTTGATCTGATCTAATAAAACTGAATATACATATAACTTACAACCTAGCAATTCTACTACTAGATATATACTCTAGAAAAACTCTTGAATCAGGATACATATACAACTGAACAACTGAATGAAGTTATTTATCCATGGCAAACAACATAGACCTTTGAAATATAAAGAATTTAAGAAACAAAAAGTATTGATATTTCCATATCATGGAACAACACTCAGCAACAAAAATGTCAATATTCTAGCTGTGATATAGTACTATAGCTTTGCAAGATATTACCACTGGGAAAACTGAGTAAAGACTGGGTAAATGGGATCTTTCTACATTATTTCTTACATGTATGTAATTTAGTTTAAAAAAAAAACAGGAATATAAACAAGGTAACAGTGGAGATTGGAGGACTATAGGTATCCTTATTTTTCTCCATTCTACTTTTCTATATTTTCTAAATTTCCCATAATAAGTCTTCACTATTTATAATTATGAAAAAAACACTTTTCAACTCTGATTTTTAATTAACATGTTCATAAAAAATAAACCTTTAACAGTCATCTAACATAAGTGTGTGTTAACAACTCTACAGCTGGCTCAGATACTAAGAAAAAGACAAAAGTAAATTTCTACTTTACACACGAGGTATTATTGTATGACCATATAGGGGCCATAATTTTATCTTCATTATTTCTTAAGTAAAATTCTTTTCAGATAGCATCTTTTCATGTTACCACTTTAGAAAAAAAAAAAAATTGGTGACACATTTTAAACAAAGTAGGATTCTGCCACATTTGAAACATACCTGCATATGGTGCCATTCCTAATATAGTAGGCATCAGGCCTCTGTAAAATCCAAGGAAACCACCTTCCTTTTGAATGAAGGAAAATTAGAAGTAAAATTACATTGTAATCACTATGATAAACACCAAAGAACAAAAGCACACATTATAATGCTAAATTTATTTTGGGCCCCACCTTGAAACACAAGGACACGCTTTCACAATTATTAACATCAATAATAGTAAATAAAAGAATAGCTATTAAGATAACATTCAGGATATTTTCTTAAATATAAAAGGAGAAAGGTAAATATGAAATACCTGTGCATAAATTGTTTTGAATGCATGAATAATTCCTGTATAGGTATGCTCCCCTTTCACCTGGAATGCTAGGCGTACTCTAACCATATCAAGTGGGTAAGTACAGATAACTGCTGTCATACCTGAAAAGAAAGTAGAAACTTAAAGGTATTGCTGTTAGCCATTCTCAGATAGAAAATGAAAAGAAAAAAGAAAAAAAAACTTAAAGGTAAAAAGAATTTTTCACAGATACAGTATGTATATACATATCTATAGAAATACATATGTTCCCTATCATTAGTAGTGCTGTCAATATTATAGAAATGATGAAAACCCAGTGAAATCAAAGGTGATATTACTGATAGAATTATACCATAATATCAGCAGCTGGAAAACAACCTAGTAAGTAAGAGATCAGTTGGTAAAAAATCTTTTCAAGCACCAAAATTCTAAATTCCTTATATAGAATTATTAGGATTGTAAGGTTTTTTAAAAAATTCATTCTACTACTTGTCTCTTCCTAGTTAAGATATCAGAAAGGAAATACCAACTATCTCTATGACATGAGGCAAGATATTTGATTTTTTTATTTTCTCTAATCCTAAAATGCAGAGATGCTTTAACTAATGAAACACAGGAACTCATTATTTTTTATTTAAATTTTTTTTATTGAAACATAATTGATTGTACATATCTGTGGGGTACAGCACTGAATATCAATACCTGTATACAATATGTGATGCTCAAATCAGGATAGTTAGTATATTTGTCATTACACAATGTAATCATTTTTTGTATAATTTTTATTTCTTAAATTGTAAATTGAAAAATTATATGGGGGACAAAGCAATGTTATAATTTATGAGTACCATATGCAATAATTAAATTAGGCTAATTAACATATCCATCACTTCAAATGAAATTCTTATAAAAATAAAATAAAACACTTATTAAAAAAAAGTTCAAACCACAGTCATTATTCTGTTTATAAAATTAGGTTGCTTTGTTATTGATTAAGCATAAGAAAAATACAAATATCTACAGGGTTCAATCCCTGTATCAGCAAGCTGCCAAAAAAAAAAATACATATATATGTTATATATGTATTTTATATATATAAATATCCAAGGTCACAGAAACAATTAGTTTTAGAGATAAAATCTCCTGATGATAAGCAAATTTTGAATTAACTTCTAGATTTTCATGAACATACGATTTTAAATTCCATATATTACCCAGTTGAGTTTTTTATAAATTTAAAACATTCTATTTTTTTTATACTAACAAAGGAATGTCTATTCAGTGTAGAAAAATTAGAAAATATAGACAATCAAAAATATTAGGGCTGGCCGGTTAGCTCAGTTGGTCAGAGTGTGGCTTTATAACACCAACGTCAAGAGTTCAGTTTCCCAAACCAGACAGCTGTCAAAAAAAAATAAAAGATATACATTTAAACATATACATATTCACCCTCTACTAATAACCACCTAAGTATATTATCTTTCAAATCTTTTATACATGTGCACTTACATGTGTACACACACACACACCCTTTTTTTTAAATGTAGAATTCAGTCATATTTATTAAACAGCCAGAAATGAACTAGAATTATACCTTCTGCTTCTGCATATGCAGTTTGCTTTACATAATAGTGTCTTTTTTTTTAAGTAATATTATTTTTTTACATTCTATGATGTTGTTGCAGAGCAGTTGGGAGGAGATGGGAAAGGGGAAGGATATGTGATGGAAGGAGGAGGGGCAGGACTGAGGCCTGTGGCAACCCCCACATTCCCACAGGGAAGACCACGGGGCTTCCAGCAATGGTTTGGTCATTGCCAGGCTGGGTAGAGATGTCAGGGGAGTGTGGCAAAAGCCCTCCCCTCCCACTTCCCCAGCTTGGGAACCGGGGGCCTTTCTTGCTGTGGCTTGGTGGTTGTTGCTGGGCTGGCTGAGGGTGTGGGGGCATGTCTGAGGCCCTCAGTCCCCCACCACCCCAGCTCAGGAGGGCCTGGGGCCTTTGCTTCAATGGTCATCACTGGGCTGGTTGCTCGTGTTGGGGGGGCATGATTGAGGTCCTCAGCCCCCACTGCCCCAGCTTTGGAGAGCCTGGAGTGCTTTCTGCAATGGATTGGAGGTTGTTGCTAGGCTGGCTGTGGGTGTGCAGGGGATGTGGCCAAGGCCCTTGGCCCCCTGTGCTGGCTTGGTGGTTTTCACTGGACCGGTTGCTCATGTTTGGGGGGGTGTGACTCAGGCCCAAGGCCCTCCACCACCCCTGCTCAGGAGAGCCCAGGGTACTTCCTGTGGCAGCTCAGTGGTCATCGCTGGGCTGGTGGCTTGTGTTGGCAGGGCATGGCCAAGGTCCAAGGCCTACACCCTTGGGACTAGCTGCAGGTATGGGGGGGGGCATGGCTGAGGCCCTGGCCCTCCCTGCTTTCTGGTTTGGTAGCCCAGGGGACTTCTGGTCCTTCTAGGTGTTATAGGTATTCTTTGGAGAAATAAGACCTTTACTAGTTAATATCAAACTTTGTCTCTGGTTGTGGGTACTTTGCTTTTTCTTTCAGTTCTGTGTTGGATTATTTGCTGTTCCCACTACCCAAACTCTGCACTGGAACTAATTTGCTGTCCTTTACTTATTTCTAAAACGGGGGAACTTCCTATGGGGACCACTACTTGAGCTCTGTGATTGAGCTAAATTGCTTTGCTGCTGATTCCCTAGGGAAGGCATTTTTGTGCAGCTCAGGTTTTAATTGTTGACTTTATAGGTACTTCTAGGTCTAATGAAATCCAGTGCACCTGTGTTACGTAAAAACTCTGGTCTGGGTCTGAGTCTTTTCATCAAACTGCACCCCCTATAGTTCTATATTCCTGACCAGTCTTCACTGGGTGGTCCTACACTGACTGGGGGGCAGATGAACTGTCCTTGCTGTGCCCCAGTGTTCTCCTGGTAGGCCCATCTCCCCCACCGCCTGTGCTCCAAACACTTCCCATGGGATGGGCTGTGCTCTGGTCCCTTGTGATGACTCACCAGCCTCTGAATGACTCCTTTTTTTCAGTTGTTGTGGCTCCTCAGTCCTATGTGGGTCCACGGGAACCCCATTAGTGGTGTTGCTGGCCTTGAAGACACCAAGGCCCTCTTCGCCCCTGCTGCCTCCAAGCAACTTCACCCGAAGGGCACAGCTGCAGCTTTTGCCAGCTCCTGCTCCATGCACTCAGCAGCTCCAGCCTGGAAATGGCCAGGATTCGGAATGGTTGGAGGGGTTTTTTCTTTCTCTCATCATGGCTTCTCCCACCTTCATGCACTCCATAGGTCTCTCCTCCTCTTCCCCTGAGCTCTAGTGGCCCCAGCTTGACTGTAGTTGCTTTTTTATAGTTGTAAATTGGTTGATTTGTGGGAGAGAGTGATGCTGAGGACTGTCTATTCCTCCAACTTGACCAGAAGAGCACACATACCCTTAATACTTGTAATTATAATGTAATTCTATTTTGTAGTCAATTTTTCCTACTTTACCTTATGTTGTGAACATCTTTACAGGTGAGAAAAACATAATTTAGATGTACCATAATTGGGGCCGGCCCGGTGGCGCACTGGATAGTGCGCCGCTTGGGAAGCGCGGCGGCGCTCCCGTCCGAGGGTTCGGATCCCACGTGCAGACTGGCTCCCGCTCACTGGCTGAGCGAGGCGTGGGAGCAACACCGAGGCTTGCAATCCCGTTGCCGGTCCCCGGTCTGGTGCGGGGGCAACACTGAGGGTTGCGATCCGTTGCCGGACACGGAAAAAAAGACAAAAGACAAAAAAAAAAAAAAAAAAAAAAAAATCCTCTCTAACGACATTTAGGTTATCAGGTTATCTCCCCTATTTGCTATATTATATTATAATAGCAAACAATGCTTTGGTTAATGTCCTTATAACTAAGTATTTTTGTGCATCATTTCCACTATAGATAAATTCCTAATATAGAGTTATTGAGGCAAAGGGTAAGGCTTTTAATAG